CGGTAGGAACTGCAGGTGTTGAGGCAGGTGTCCTGTGTGCGGTGTGTTTGGGTGACTGCTGGACTAGGAGGAGCCTAGAGCATGAATGCAGACAGCACCCAAGCTCTCCTGGGAAACCCTGAGTGCTGCTTCTGGTCTGCTCAGTTCAGCATGTTTGCAAAGCTGTAAATCTAGGGTGACCATATGTCCCATTTTGGCCGGGACAGTCCCTTTTTTAAGCCCTGTCCCGGCCGTCCTGACTTTTTTCGCAAAAGTGTGCATTTGTCTCATTTGCTCTTGCCAACTTGATCAGTTGGGGGGAGCAGGGCTTGGACTGAAGAGCAGGCAGGAAGTCAGTAGCAGGAAGTCAGGAGAGCAGCGATGCCAGCCCCGCCTTAGGAGGGAGGGGGCCTTGGGCTCGCCCCACACGGTGTCCCGTTTTCCTTTGGGGAAATATAGTCACCCTATGTAAATGCCGTTCTTACAAACTGAGCTCTCCAAGCCCTTCCCCTTCACGGTGCAGCTGTGGCCCTGAGTCAAATGGTACGTGCAGTGGTGGGACGGGGCAGAAGGAGAAAGGAAGAAATTTAGTTTCTGATGATTGGTCAAAGAGCGTGTCCATTCCGTAAGTAAGGTAGACACAAGATGAAGTAATGAAATATTCTGAGTTAGATTCTGAATTTCTGATCCTTTGCATTATTGTCTTAGTACGTTGATTTTGACTGGCTTTTCTGGGTCCTGTGCTGATTGGCTGTTTGCTCCAACCCTCCTCTCCACCTCAGCTCCACTAATCCACACCTGTCCCTCTCCCACTCCTTCCCTTCATGTAGTTGATCCCCTCCTAAGTAACGCTCCCCACAAAAAAGTCATGGCCCTACCATGCCATCTGCTGGTGTGTTCTACCCCTTTCCCTGCCCTGTGTCTGTCTGGTCTATTTAGACTGTAGGCTCTTCAGGGCAGAGACTGTTTACTACTCTGTATTTGTACAGCACAGAGATTGATCTGGGGGTGCTTGAGCTCAAGGATTCTATGTCCCATTTGGGATTTGCCATGAGGGTGAAAATGACACTAGCACAATGGGACCCCATTCTGGGGTCGCCCATCGGTACTACCGTCATAAACACAATCGATAATAATTCCCAAATTATTCTAGAATAGACATCAATAGTAAAACTAACGCTAAATAAGTCAGTTACTCAGTACAAATTACCCAGCATTGCTACAGCTAGTTTGTTCTTATACTTCACTACTTAATTGGTTTTAATGTCAAAACTCAACATTTCAATAACATTTTACCCAACGTTGTACTGAATTCACTAATAAATAATGAGCCTAGCAAGCCAAACCAACCACCATGCAATCAATCTTCGCTTTGAAACATGCTCTGCAAAGAAAACTGCAGGCATAAGAACGCAAAGCAGGCCAGGAATCTCCTACCAGAGAAGCTCTGTGGTCAAAGTGACAACAGAAGTTCTGTCACTCAAGAGTTTTTAAACTACGCCAGCTTGCCATACTCTACGTCAGAGAAGTTGAATTAGACACTGTGAGAAAACTGCATGAGCTCTACCGCCACTGCAGCGCCTCCATTACAATCCCCAATGGAACTGCACCGACAGTACATTATGGAGATTTTCTATTAATCAACATGCGATTATTAATATTGGTGTCGTGCTCTACAACCTCAGTCATTTCATTGAATGAGGCACTAGACAAATGTGTGGTGAACGTCAGGCCCTGCCTCCCAGCGGCTACAATTTCAGAACAAGACACAACAGACAGCTGACTAAACAAACAGGCCAGGGAAAGTCAATGGGAGTTAGGTGCTTTTGAAAATCCCACTAGGCACCTATCTGCCTCTTTTGGTGCCTAAACACCTTTGTGACTCTGGCTCTAGACTCTTGCAATTTTTACCTTAAAACAGCTCCTTTGAAATATTTTTACTCATTTGCATTTTTCTGTCACCCTATATCTGCCAAACAAAGCCACCTCGCACAACAAACATCCATACGTAGGTACATTTGGACGTGGGCTCCTTCGACAGGTAAAGTGGCCAGGTGCTCGATTTTCAACCAACAAGTTCAGTCGAAAAGGGGACCTGATAGTGTCCGGTCAGTACTACTGACCAGACACCCAAAGTCTGGTTACTGCAGGCGGGGAGGTGCCGGATCATCACCCACGCCAGCCCCTACTCAGACAGGGCTGCCTCCTACCTGCGTTGGGCGGCTGCAGCTCCCAGCCCTGGCTCTGCAGGTGAGTCCCTCCTGACCCAGGTTCAGGGGGGGAAAGCAGCAAGTGATGGAAGCAGGGGAAAAAAAGAAGCAAATGGGGGTGGTGCCTTGGGAAAGAGGTGGGGCAGAGGCAGGGCCTCAGGGGGAAGAGGCGGGGAAGGGGTGGGGCCTCAGGGGGGGAAGAGGTGGGACAGGGAAGGTTCGGGGACTTCTGCTGGAGTGTCCATTTTTAAAATATTACAAAGTTGGCAACCCTATCAACAGGCAAGATAGTGAAATGTTTCAGAAATTAACATATGTAGAAAACTGTTCAATTCTCTGTCAGTGAAAGCAATGGAGAAGGGAATGCAGTTTAC